TTTAGATTTGGTTTGTGGTGATGGAGGCTGCTGGAGCTAGCAGTGCAGTTCTACATAAGGGAACGTACTGTTGATGTAAAACTGCTTGATATCTTATGTACAACTTGAGTATGACTTAGAATCGAAATCAGAATCAGGCTTGAAAACCTAATGAGCAGTAGGAAAGGAATGAGTTAGAGAATCCTTGTAAAGAAGACGAGAGGAGGCCAGGTATGGTGGCTCACACCTATAATCCCAGCACTTTGGGAGGCCGAGGCAGGAGGATCATTTGAGCCCAGGAATTCAAGACCAGCCTGGGCAACATGATGAAACCCCAATGCTACAAAATAGGAAAAAAAAAAAAAAAAGAATGTTAGAGGAGGAAATTGCTGTATGTTGCCTAAAAGTCTGGAAATGGCTGCTGGTGGGTAGGCTTTCCCATTGTCTCCAGGTGAAATATTTAAAGGTAAGGAACATGAGGAAAGCTGCGCTTACCAGGGTAGGTCAGGTAGGTCCTGTATACAGTGCCATTGAGAAATTTCACTGTTGCTAAGAGAACCTAACTTCCGTAGACTTTGTTGTTTAAGGCACTTAGGATGCTGTAAAGTCTTGAACTCATTACACTTTTATTATAGGCTGCAGAAAACATCAGTAAAGGTTAATTAGTGCCATATTTATCCTTACATGCTGCTTTTACATCTCCTACAGCTTTATCACGTATTGATCCTTTTTTATTTTTCTCCTGCTGTATGGCCCAGTTCCAAGAATGGACATATCTGGGGATTAGATGACAGCCAGTATTTAGGCTGAATTAGAGGAAGCAAAGGCAATCCTTTTGCAATGGAAGTTGTGTTTTCCTTTCAGATGCAAAAATCTAGGGTATTTTCGAAATGTTGGTGTTAAATCTAAAGCACATTTGAGATTCTTTTCTTTAACCACCCCAGTAATGATAACACAGATATGTTTTGAAACTGTGATGTTCTCCTGTCTCTCAGGCTTTTTGTGGAAGGAATGCAAGGAACAAAGACATTTTTTGTTAATTTTTGTTGCTGAATAAGGTTGCTTATAACCCCAGAGGCAGCCACCCATCATCATCTTGTAGGATCCAGCTTGTAGGATCATCTGATAACTCTGTAAGGCGGCTCGTGCGTCGGGCTTGGGCACCATAGTCTCTGCCTTGCCCTGATCTTCCCCTTCCTGAGTGTTGGGATTCCACCAGTTGGTGCCTGGCACTGTTCTTCTTTGTCTGAATATGCAGTGGGCATTCCCAGATGAGACCCCCTAAGTCAGGCCCACACAGAACCCTCCTGTTCCCTCCCTCCATCAGCGACTTGCCTGTCAATTCTTGCCCTGCTTTTCTCCTTTCACTGATGTTCAGGGCAGCATTTGGTACTGGAGACCTATTTTCACCTGCTTCCCACCTTTTCTCCAGCATTTTTTTTGCCTTCTCCACTGGTTCCTATGCCAGCATGTTTTAGTCAGAGGATCACAGCGGCATTTATACCTTGGATTTTCTTTTTGTGCTATCATTTCAGGCGAAGGTAGTATTTATTACTTCTGAAAACAGCAGGGATAATGTGAACTAATACCTAGTGTAAGGCCTAAATACTACATTTTACTCTTGATGACTTAAACTTGTATTTTCATTAGTATAATTCTATGAGCAAAGTTTAAAAAGCCAACAGTTCTGAAAAGCCTATAATGACAAAGTCATTAATCCTCACTCCCTCTCTGCTGCTCGCAACTCTTCTAGCTCTTTCTCCTGGTGTTTGTCTCCATATTTCTAAATAATCTCATAGTATTCTTTCAGGACTTTTTAGACTTCACCCACTTTGTTGAAGGAGTCTTTAATGCTCTTAGGCAGTCCCTATGCCCACTGCATTTTCCTTCTCTCCACACCCCTACAGTTTATTTTTGGATATATTTTCTGGTCTTGAAGTGCTTGTCAAGTTCATCCCAAGTAAGCAGTAAGGCAGGTTTCTTGTTTTTTATGATTCGCTTCGCCTCGCCTCTCCTCTCCTCTCCTCTCCTCTCCTCTCCTCTCCTCTCCTTCTCCTCTCCCTTTCCTCTCGCTCTCCTCTTCCCTCTCCTCTCCCCTCTCCTCTCCCTCTCCTCTCCCTCTCTCTCTCCTCTTCTCTTTTTTGAGACAAGGTCTTGTTCTGTCGCCCAGGCTGGAATGCAGTGGTGTGATCATAGCTTACTGCAACCTCTGCCTCCTGGGCTCAAGCAGTCTTCCCACCTCGGCCTCCTGAATAGCTGGAACTGCAGCCTGTGCCACCACACCCAGCTAATTTTTGTATTTTTTGTAGAGACCATGTTGTCCAGACTGGTCTCAAACTTCTGGCTCAAGTGATCTGTCTGCCTTGGTTTCCCAAAGTGTTGGTATTGCAGGTGTGAGCCACTGCACCTGGCATCGTGTTCTTAGTTGGCTAAATTTACTCTAATCTCAATGGTTGATACCAGAATATTCTCGAGTACCAACCTTGTCAGTAACTGAACAAACTACATGTTAAGACATTTCTTGGGCATTGGCGATACTGGTGATACAGACAAAGGCCTATACCACTTTCATCAGGAAAAGAACCTTATACCTCCAGATGTAAACATAACTTATGGCTTAATTACTTCTTAACTGTTCCACCTTTCAACACTGTTGCATTGGGGATTAAGCTAGCAACACATCAACTTTGAGGAAAACATTCAAACCATGGCAGCCTTCTTTTACTGGTGGGGAAAGAAACAAGTTTAAAAGACTGGAAAAATACATAGGTACTTATGGGACTGGTCATTGGTTTCTCCACTGTAGATTCCATTCTCACACTAGTTGGTGACACAGCAGGGCAGGTTGGAAGCCAGAAATGGGAAATAAACTGCTTCAGGTTAGAGGCAGATTCTGTCAGGCAGGACTGGGGGTAGTGTGTACTCGCCCTACACATTGAGGAAGGGTAGACAGAGGCATCGTAGTGCACGTCTACCAAGAAATTAGGGAGGTTATCCCTGTAGCCTGCCTAGATGGTTCAGGTTGTCTGAAACTTAAATGGAAGTTGAGGCTCTGAATACATGCAGGACTTCTGAATCTGCGGCAGGTAGTACAGAATTACCTGACTTAGAGAATAAATAGAGAGGCCTGGCATCTATGTGCAACTCAGCCTCATCAGCCGGAAGCCAATGCCCTCTCTCACCTCACTCCAGTAATACTTAATCTAGCCGTAATTAGCCAACCAAAGATGGGGACAAGATGCCAAGGCCAAGAGCTCTTGAGAATTGAGCACTCCATCTAACAAGGGAGGTCATCAAGTTTCTCCTCCACCCTTTCCCTGAAGTAACTCATGGAGTGAGCTCAGGACACTGGGTTCAGATGGCTTGGAAAGTTCTTCTGGGGCACTGATAACAGCAGACATTTTCTTGGAAGTTTTTTACCTCAGAAAATTCCATTTGTCAAAGATTGCTGTAGAGCAATATGTGGCAATTACAATATGGAAAAAAAACAACAAAGGAAAGGTTTTATGAGAGGGAAGCTCAAGCAATTCCGTTAGAACAGGTCGACTCACCCACCAGTAGTCTGTTCTAACAACTTTAAAAAGGAAGATGAAATGAAACCGTGAGATCGTAGTGAACAGAACTGAGAAAACAGATGAATTACGAGACTCACCGGGATAGGCTGTTCATAAAAATCACCTGTTTCTCAATTTCTGAGGTGTGATTGTGGTCATAAACATAAAGCTACTCCAGCTCTCAAAGACCGACTGTCTCTCCCACAAAGCACTCACCAGATGCGAAGTGAGAGAAGGGCAGGGACGGGGAAGAACCTCGTTCTGTGAGGGCACAGATAGAGGACCCTGACTCAGCTGCAGCTCCCAGAAATACCAGCTCCTGGAGAGGCTGATGTTGGATAGTTGAGCTGAGATTTCAGGGTTAAGGATGGTTTCATTTAGGAAAAGAGGGCAAAGGAATGAGAGGAGATTGTCCTGGCAGAGGGCACAGCATGTGCCAAGTCACCGTGGTGGGAGGAAAGGAGATGCAGTTGAAAAACTCAAAGAACCAGTGCTCAGGGTGGAGGGGCAGGGAATAAAAGATAATGCTGGAGGGTTAGGCCGGCCCGATACCGTGAGATCAAGGGTTTCAAGCAGGAAAAATGCCGCATTAAGATTTCCTGTGTGAATAGACCACTCTGCCTGCAGTAGGCAGGGTGTGCTGGGGCCATGGGAATGCTGGGTGGCCTGTCAGTGAGCCATTCCTGTAGCCTGGGGAAGGGCTGGAGAGAAGTGGATGGACGTGGGAAATCTGGGTGGGGGGGTAAATCCACAGACTTGACAGAGTGGCTATGAGGGAGAGGGAGTGGTCAAGGGTGCCACTTAAATTTCTGACCTACAGAAAGTGCTAGACTGGATGATACTACATTCTTTCTCTTTCTCTCTCTCTCTCTCTCTCTTTCTCTCTCTCTCTCTCTCTTTCTTTCTTTCTTTCTTTCTTTCTTTCTTTCTTTCTTTCTCTCTCTCTCTCTCTCTCTCTCTCTTTCTTTCTTTCTTTTTTTTTTAAAAAAGAATTCCTCTAATGATTTTTCATGAATAGGTTCTTTTGGTATACCTTTTCACAAGTACAAGTACCGATAGATTTCCTTTTGGAAAATCTTTAGGGAAGGCAGTGGGCAATGGGAAGGGGGTTATCACGAAAGATGTGAACGCCGAAATGGGAGGCCTCAGCAATCCAGAACTTGGAGTGTGAGCACTACTTAGAACTGACATTTTGAGTATTGGCAGAGGGATTGTCGTCAAGATGCTCCTGATACATGTTTTTATAAGTGATTGAAATGAAAGATGAGATGCAGATGGAAAGGAAGTACAGTGTGTGGTGTGTCTACGTTACGCCTGTATTTGAACATGATTGTTGGAAAGACTGATCAGATGTTATAGTTTAGGGACCATGCTTACCCAACAATCATTCCTTTAAAAGTAAGGCTTGAAATTTGGGAAATGGCATATTTACAAGATGGCAAAACCTGATTTCTTTTGTTTTCTAAGGTGATTGATATGCCCGAACACAACCCTGGCGATTTGGGAGGAACAATGAGACTGGGACTAAGAAGAACTGTTTTCAAAACTGAAAATTCAGTACTAAGTAAGTTTCCCAGATTGTTTATTTTATAATTTATTGGATGTCACTCATGTGACTGCAGGTGCCCAGCCCTCTGGGTGGTGGAGATTCACCCCTGCCCCTTCCAGAATCCTCAGAGGGCCCTGATTCTCCCTCTTTCTATCTCCCCTGCCCTTACTGACCCTCTACTCTGGGCATTCCTCTCTCTGGTAATCTTGTCCCTTGGCCTGGCCTTGGTAGAACAGACTGAATGCCCCTTTGCATTTGATCTGCATGACTCCCTATTCATTGGGCTGTTTTGTGAGTTACCAATGCCCCTGGAGATGAACTTGGATGGGGAGAGAGAACCCTGATTCACACTCAGTTCTTTTGAATCCACAGTTCTCTCTTTTACATTGAAACTGGTTCCCTGTTTAATGTCTGTTTGCCTGGTCTTAGTGACTCACAAATGAACTTCCAAGGAGGAGAGCAGTTGTGCATCTCAGAAGTGTATTTCTCTCTCCCCTTGGCAGCCCCAGTGTGGGGAGATGGCTCACGATTTGATATTTGCTGATCTTTCCACTCCCCATAAGGTTAATTCTAATTTCTGTGGAACATTTTTCTTAAATGAGCATATTATATAAGAATAACTTATTGTTGAAAACAAACCAAAGCCTTTAATTCAATTCAATAAATGTATCTTGAATGCCCACTCTGTGTCGTGTGCAAATATAACAGTGACCAGGACAGATTCCAGCCCTGCCCTCCTAGGGCCTCAAAACAAGCAGAAGAAATGTGACAAAAGGGAAAGGCAGGTTGCTAGGGGGGCCGGATGCAGAGGGGGAGCCCAGGAATCGCGAGTGTTCAGTGTAATTTTCGTGAAATTATAAGAATCCCTTAGAATCCTGTGAAGTTATAAGAATTCCTTAGAAAAATGCCTTCTTAAGAAAGAGTAAGGCCAGAAATATGAGCTTCTCCTTTAAAGATGAATATAAACCTTCTAAGGAATAGAAAGCTTCCTAGCCAGAATGAAATTTAAAAATAAAAGGCTTCAAAGTAAATACGGTTCCCTCCTTTCTCTGCATAAGAAGTCATTGCTCTCTAAGTCACTAACATTTTCCCTTGCAAATACTATATAAAAAGTTTTTTTCTTCATAAATGTTAGCAATTCTGCAGCTTTCAGGTGTCTTCAGATACTTTGAAACTTTGTTCAAATAATTGCCTACGTGACAAAAAATGCTTAGTGAAAAATTAATGTCCTAAAATTATATCCATTGAGAAAGATTCAGTGGTAATTGTACTAAGTTTTTAAAAAGAGCATTGTACTCAATATAGTTAAAAATTTGATAGCTGTAAGTCTGATTTAAGATTTTTCTTGGCCAGTTGCAGTGGCTCACACCCCTATCCCAGCACTTTGGGAGGCGAGACAGGCAGATTGCTTCAGCCCAGGAGTTCAAGACCAGCCTGGGCAACATGGGGAAACCCTGTCTCTACAAAAAATTAGCCTGGCATGGTGGCTTATGCCTGTGGTCCCAGCCACTTGGGAGGCTGAAGCAGGAGGATCACCTGAGCCCAAAAGGTTGAGGCTGCAGTGAGCCATGATGGTGCTACTGCACTTCAGCCTCGGTAAAAAAGATTTGTTTTTCTTAGTACTGGATGTGGTATAATGTGCCTGTAGTTCCAGCTACTCAGGAGACTGAGGTGGGAGGATTGCTTGAGGCCAGGAGTTGGAGACCAGCCTGGGAAACATAGTGAGACTCCGTCTCAATTTAAAAAATAAAATTTGTATGCCGGGCGCGGTGGCTCACGCCTGTAATCCCAGCACTTTGGGAGGCCGAGGCGGGTGGATCACAAGGTCAAGAGATCGAGACCATCCTGGTCAACGCGGTGAAACCCCGTCTCTACTAAAACTACAAAAAATTAGCTGGGCATGGTGGCGCGTGCCTGTAATCCCAGCTACTGAGGAGGCTGAGGCAGGAGAATTGCCTGAACCCAGGAGGCGGAGGTTGCGGTGAGCCGAGATTGCGCCATTGCACTCCAGCCTGGGTAACATGAGTGAAACTCCGTCTCAAAAAAAAAAAAAATAAAAAATAAAAAAAAATAAAATTTGTGGCTGGGCACGGTGACTCACACCTGTAATCCCAGCACTTTGGGAGGCTGATGCGAGTGGATTGCCTGAGGTCAGGAGTTTGAGACTAGGCTGGCCAACATGGTGAAACCCCATTTCTACTAAAAATACAAAAAAAATTACCCAACCATGGTGGCACATGCTATAATCCCAGCCACTTGGGAAGCTGAGGCAGGATAATTGCTTGAACTTGGGAGGTGGAGGTTGCAGTAAGCTGAGATAGTGCCATTGCTCTCCAGCCTGGGCGACAGCGTGAGACTCTGTCTCAAAAATAAAATAAAATTAAATTAAAAAAAAATGAAATTTGTTTTTCTTCACAGTAGACATAAAAATATTGATGATTTTTATAAATCTTAAACACAGCACCAAAGCTTGTTTTGAAAAATTTTGCAAACAACTTTATTGAGGTATAATTTATCATATAATTTATCTATTAGTAGCATACAATTCACTGATTTTTTTGTGTATTCACAGAGTTGTGCAACCATCACCACAGTCAATTTTAGGACATTTTCATCACCTCTTGTAGAAACCCTATACCCATTAGCTGTCACCAACCCTACACCCTGCTAGCCCTTGGCAACCACTAATCTACTTTTTGTCTATGGGTTTGCCCATTATAGACATTTTATCTAAATGGAACTATATGATTTGTGGTCTTTTGTGTCTCACTTCTTTCTTTCTTTTTCTTTCTTTCTTTTTTTTTTGAGACAGTCTCGCTCTGTCACCCAGGCTGGAGTGCAGTGGTGCGATCTTGGCTCACTGCAAACTTCACCTCCTGGGTGTAAGCAATTCTCCTGCCTCAGCCTCTCGAGTATCTGGGATTACAGGTACCCACTACCATGCTTGGCTAATTTTTGTATTTTTAGTAGAGACGGGGCTTCACCATGTTGGCCAGTCTGATCTTGAACTCCTGACTTCAGGTGATCTGCCCACCTCGGCCTCCATAAATGCTGGGATTCCAGGCGTGTGAGCCACCACACCTGGCCTGTCTTCTTTCTTTTAGCATAATGTTTTTTTGCTGTATCAACTTTATAGCATGTATCAGTATTCATTCCTTTTAATGGCCAAATAATATTCCATTGTATGGATAGACCACATTTTGTTTATCCATTCATCAGCTGGTGGACATTTGGGTTGTTTCCAGGCAACAATTTCTTTAATTTTTTCTCTTTACTTTTTTTTTTTTTAAGTCCTTTTCCTAAAGAGAAAGAAAGTTATGTTGCCTTACATTGAAGTTGTGCTTCCTAGTTTTCAGGAAGCATGTGATCTATGCGCTGGCGCCCTCCCACCTGTGCAGCTCTGTCTCTCGCAGGTCTCCAGAAAAGGCTGTGCCAGAGATAAGAATGTGACCACTGTGTGAGGCTCTACTGTGTGGCATAAAAATATAAAACCAAGTAGCATGGTAATGTTTGATGGGCCCTTTTCCCCCTAGTCAACATATTTCTTTTGTACAATCTTATGTATTGTTTTATGTTTTTATAAGCTAGCATATTTCTTTTGTAGGATTCCCCCATCCCATATTGGCATGTTTCTTTTGTAGACTTTTTTCTAAGTCAGCACATTTTTGCAAGGATGCTATGAACAAGATACATTTGCTTACATTGCCTGTGAAAACAATGAAGAGTTTTGATAGAAAGCATTTAAATGCTATTCATTTTTTCATTTTAATTTGATTTATAGGCCAGTACTTATAATGCTTGGATTAAATGGAAAAACAGGAAAGTAAAGAGTTCTCTAGTAAAAAAGAATGCCTTGAAATAGGACCACAGCCTAAAGATATTGATAGCCACAGTGGGTGGATGACTAGATTGAGTCTATTTTTTTTTTTTAGACGGAGTTTTGCTCTTGTTGCCCAGGCTGGAGTGTAGTAGTGCGATCTTGGCTCACTGCAACTTCTGCCTCCTGAGTTCAAGTGATTCTCCTGCCTCAGCCTCCCGAGTAGCTGGGAGTACAGGCGTGGCCACTATACTGAGCTAACTTTTTGTATTTTAGTTGAGATGGGGTTTTACCATGTTGGCCAGGCTAGTCTTGACCTCCTGACTTCAGGTGATCCTCCTGTCTTGGCCTCCCAAGCTGTTGGTATTATGGGCGTGAGCCACCACGCCCAACCGAGCCAAATTATTATATTCAAGAACAATTCCTCTTATTTTCTTAATCACCTGTTAATTCCTTAAGGGTTATGAAAACTACAAATTAACTTTTTCTGAAGTGAAGATTATAGGTATGAATTGATTTGGACAAAAGTACTGGTAATGATTATTTGTCCTGTTTATACGCAGTGTGTTCCCAGAAGTTCCCTTCCTGTGTTCTATGTGTTTTCTTCATCTGCAAAGGCCTTTTCCTGTAAAAGGGCTAATGACAGCATGTGTAGAATTATCAAAGCTGATTCAAGCGTCCTTAGAAATGAGATATTTTGAGGAAGAGGGAGAAATTTGCGAAAGGATTCAAAATTACCCTGATTTGATCACTATACATTATATGTATTGAAACATCACTATGTGTCCCATAAATATGTACAATTATTATTTGTCAATTAAAAAGAGAAGTAAGATTTTTAAAAAATTGTATATCTATAATCCTCTACCTGAGTATTAGTTGCACATCTATGGTATTTTCCAGACTTCATCAAGATTAGTTTTTATATTAATCTTTTCTGGTAGCATCCCTTTTTCCTATATCTGGTCTTCCTGTCTATGATCTGGGCATATAGTATTTAATTGAGTTAAAGGAAGCATATTCTGCTGATTTATTTCTTATTGATAAATACTTCACATGGTTTCTGACATTTTGTTAGAAAAATGCTGAATCTAAAAGACAATGAGTTCATGTCCTTTGTAGGGACATGGATGAATCTGGAAACCATCATTCTCAGCAAACTGACACAAGAACAGAAAATCAAACACCACATGTTCTC